CTTTTCCCGCCCCCCCCCCCCCCCCCCATGTGATCCAACGAGATGCCGCATGTGGCAACAGCCTCAGACTGTCTCATTATAGGGACAGCCCTAGTACTGGGAGCAGCATATTGAGTCCCTATGTTGTGTATATACAGTACGGTGAGTGATTGTTGTCACCCTAAGACAGAAATTGGGGGAAGTTATTAGGAGAGGGACAGCAACCCCTGTCACCGACTTATTTTGGGGATAGCAGGGTAGAAGAGATCAGTCACAGTTTTCTTGTCTTATTCATCATGATGTGTTATCTTGGGAGGGAAGAATGACTATCGGAGAAGGGTCTTGTCTTAGCGATAATCCTGGCTTATCACAGGATAGGGGAGTAATAGTGATTAATAGTATTCTACTCATTGCTAATCTAATGTCTTCCACATTGCACAGCACTGTGCTTAATGTAGAATCGAATTATTATGTTCTGTGAAAGAGTCGCCGCCTCCTCGCTATGTGACGCTATATAAGCTGGCTGCATGTGTCTGTTGGCTGCTGATATATTAGCAGCTGGGGATCCAGAGCTGGTAAAAGTGACTAAGCTCTTTCTTCCACCTCATTGTGGCGCCCCTCCCCATAGGCTTGTCATCTTCTTTGCTAAAAGCCAAACACGGGTACAGCAATGTGTTTTGTTTTAAATGAGCGCTTTAGTCTATGACAGTCAATCAGAAATTGTTTACATGGCTCTGATTGGTTGCTATGGGCTACTGCACACAGTTACGCTCTGTCCTTTGTGCAGTAAACAATCCCGGCAGTAGGCCGAGGCCTAGTGAGATACATTTTCGGGAGGTGACGGACGTACTGTGTTTATATACATTAATATTGTATTGCTTTTCTTTATCTTATGTAAGCTTTTACTAATAAACAATCCCGGAAGTGTTCAGGCCTCGCTTTGTGGTACCGTCAAGTAGGCCGAGGCCTAGTGAGGTACATTTTCAGGTCACCAATAAAAATGTAAAAGTATATAATTCGATAATGTAGACTACAGTTTTTTTTATTTTATATGGGGTGCCACAATGACTTGCAGGTCCGTACTCTTTTTGGAGACCCCGAGTGACACAGGTCTCCGCATGGGCACATAGAGAACAATTGTTTTTCATTCATGGACAGCTCTCCCGCTAGGACAGGGGGCCTGCTGCTAAGCATGAGGCAAGTGCTCCATTTCACTATAGATTTGTGTGTGGGGATTTCCATTGTTCTGACACTGTATTTCAATGTTCAGCCAAAACCTTTTGTTTTAGTTGGAGCAGGTAAGGATTAGAACAAGCGTGGGCAAACTACGGCTCTTTAGGTTTTGGTGAACTACAAATCCCATGATGCATCTGTCTCTGGGAGTCATGCTTGTGGCTGTGAGAGTCTTGCAATGCCTCATGGGATTTATAGTTCCACAACAGCTGGAGGACCAGAGTTTGCCCACCCCTGGATTAGAACTCCTGTCAGGTTTTACTGATATCTGGGGGTCTTTAAAAAAGATTTTTCCTGTCCCAGTGACAACAGTTTTAGCAGACAGGAAGTGAGGGAAACAATGAGGTGATGATGGCGGGCTCCAGTCTTCCTCTTCTGAAAAAAAAAATTAGTTTGGGCTGCTGTTAGAATTGACCCTCACTTCCTGTCTTGTTAAATCAGTTTCAACAGGACAGGAAGTAAAGATAAATCTTTCTATGTAGTCCCAGGTTGCAGTAAAAACCAGTCCGAGTGCTGCTTTGAGAGATTTACCCTCATATCCTGTCTGGTAAAACCGTTGTCACTAGGACAGGAAGTGAGGAGAAAGCTCTTTACAGATCCACAGGTCCTATCCTTTCTCTACTCTGTACGAAACCTAGAATAAAAAAGTTTTGGCTAGAGTTAGCATTCCTAGCTAGCAAAGTATTCCTGAATGGACATTTGCTATAGGTGTGCCAGAAACTTGTACCCCAGGGGTAGGCAACCTCAACACCCCAGCTGTTGTGGAACTACAAGTCCCATGAGGCATTGCAAGACTCTACTTGCCACAGGCATGACTCCCTGAGACAGAGGCATGTTGGGATTTGTAGGTTTCGCACCAAGGTTGTCTACCCCTGTTGTACACCATGATAAACAGATCACTCTATTTCTTTATGATATGTTTTTTTGAATATCCAGATATACCATGTGACCAGTGAGTTTGAATCCTGCATTCTGATTGGATGCTGGAAACTTTGTGCCTCACATATTATCACTGTTAAGCAGCTTGTTCATGCTGGGTGTTCCCTCTCGGAATTCTTGGCTGTGACCTGATTATCAGAAGAAATGGGAATACATGCCTCTGACATAGAGACACATTGTGTTCAGTGTTGTATACAGCTGAGCATATTATTCATGTAATGCAGACGCGTTTAAATAAAAGAGCAACCAGTCAGAAATGACCATCAGCCAATCGGATTAATCGCAGGCATGGCTGTCATCCAATCAGGGCAAGCTGATTTATCAATCTTCTGCCTAGCGTATAGCTAGATCAATGTCGTCCACACGGCACTACTGTCACTAGATGGAGCTGAGGAGCACAGATAGTTCCTAGACTCATCAGCGCCATCTAGTGGCAGTAGAGCTGTGTGACCAGCATTCACCCAGCTATACCCTGGGAAAGATTTATAAATCACCCCAAAAAGTATATGTAACCCCAAACTGAATGTTGTCCACATGGCACTACTGCCACTAGATGGAGCCAAGGAACAGAGAATATCCCTATGCTCCTCGCCATCTAGTGGCAGTAGTGCCATGTGAACCGCATTCTCACAGATATGCGCTGGGGGAAGCTTTATAAATCAGTCCCAAATGTAGATGTAACCCCAAACTGAATGACATTCACCCAACATATAGCTGAGTGAATGTTGTTCGCACGGCACTACCATCACTAGATGGAGCATAGAAGATTTCTATGTTCCTCAGCGCCATCTAGTGGTGATAGAGCCATGAGAACCCCATTCTCCCAGCTATACTCTGGAGAAGATTTATAAATCACCCCAAAAAGTAGATGTAAACCCAAACTGAATGATATTCACACAGTGTATATCTGGGTAAATGTCATTCGCATGCCACTACCTTCACTAGATGTAGAACGAGGAGCATAGGAATTCCTATACTCATCAGCGCCATCTACTGGTGATAGAGCCATGTGAACAGCATTCTCCCAGCTGTACCCTGGGGGAAGATTTATAAATCAGCCCCAAACAATAGATGTAAACCCAAACTGAATGTCGTCCACATGGCGCTACTGCCACTAGATGGAGCCAAGGAGCATAGAAAATGTTTATATTCCTCAGCGCCAACTAGTGGTGATAGAGCCATGTGACCAGCACTCACCCAACTGTATGCTGGGGGAAGATTTATAAATCAGCCCCAAAAAGTAGATGTAAACCCAAACTGAATGACATTTCACCCAACATATAGCTGAGTGATTGTTGTTCGCACGGCACTACCTTCACTAGATGTAGCCGAGGAGCATAGGAATTCCTATGATAGAGCCATGTGAACAGCATTCTCCCAGCTGTACCCTGGGGGAAGATTTATAAATCAGCCCCAGACAATAGATGTAAACCCAAACTGAATGTTGTCCACATGGCACTACTGCCACTAGATGGAGCCAAGGAGCACAGAAAATCCCTATGCTCCTCAGCGCCATCTAGTGGCAGTAGAGCCGTGTCAATCAGCCCCAAAAAGTAGATGTAACCCCAAACTGAATAACATTTATTTTATTAAAGCCTGGCTCTATTTGTAGAGTAAATCAGGAGCAGGGGAGACCAAGCAGGGCCCCAATAGGGAGACAGGGACAGACTGTTGCCTCCCTATATCAGGAAGTGCCTGACCATGGACCTTTTGTGGCAGGATCACCAGGTATTATTCTAATGAAAGCTGCAGATTTAACAATTGTGACATTGACATGTAAAATCTTCTGTGACATTTTCAGGATTGGGATTAAATCTCCTCCTTCTATTTCTCCGAGAATCATGGAATAGGTAGGTAAAGCCTTTTTTTCTCTCGCTTTCCTTCTCTTTTAAATGATTTTAGGTTTTCCTTGCTCATCATCTCATGCAATTTGGCCTTTTCTAGAAATCTATGAATAGTCTCAGCGGATTGTTTCCTGAAACCAAATTCCTATTTGTATATATATAATGTCTGATTTATAAACAAGAGGTGTCCAGCACAATAAGACTTCTCAGTGAAGTGTGTGCAGGGATTCCTATTGCTGTCTAGACATAATTCATATTCCCTGTAGCATCCCTCTTGGTTCTTGTACCCATTGTAAGGTTTTTTTGTGTGTTCCGTCACATGACTCCATCACTAACCTGAGTTGTCTCTCCTCCCCCCCTCCATCCTCTGCTCCCTCCCCCTCTATATTCCCTTCCATGCTCTTTCACAGGCTGGGTGACGTCACTGGCCGTGTCTCAGCTTCAGCACCACGGAGAGCGGCAGCTTCTCCCTTCCCATCCCTCCCATTCTTCCATCTGACCATCCATCCATCCTGATAGCCCATAGGAGGGCACACAGAGCCACAGGCCTGCAGGAGGAGGTGGGGAGGGGTCCTGGCTGCTGGAGAGAAGCCTGCAGGCCTGCTAGTGGAGGTGGCTAATCCTTTGTGGGATTAGGGCAGTTTTTATGGAACCAAGCTTCATCCAGTCGGCCATGGCTTTAGGCTTGCCATCTAAGAAGGCTTCTTCAAGGAACATTGCTGTGGAGAGGAAAAATTTGCTCACTGTCTGCAGGTAAGAGATGGGATAGGGGGGTAGATATGCTTTTTTGGGGGGGAGGAAGGATGGCTTGAAAGGTTTGATCTTTAGAAATGCATGGATGGACGATGAGGTTTTCTATGGGAAAGAGGTCTCCTATGTTCAAGAAGAAAATATAATGGCTTTTTGGACTAGATGTCAATGGGGCAACGCTTAACTATAATCAGGTACTGGGGAAACTTGCAACTTGTGCCATGTATCCAGCACAGAAACCCTTAGCAACCCAAATTCATTTATCACCAGTCTGACCCCTGATTGGTTACTCTGGGTCCCAGTACTGTGTAGATCACCAGTTTTGGACCGGTTACTAAATAGGACTGAAGGGTTGAGGGGAAGTCAAAGGATAAGGTGACCCCAAGACCTTTCTTTAACAAAAATAGGTGTGATTTGAAGACCTAAAAGACGCTGAGGAAAGTGGGAGTCCGCTTTATAGGAATGCTGGAGGTGATGGAACAGGAAGTGACATCACAGCTATAAAAGCCACAGGCTGAATAGGAAAGATATGTGATATACATCAAAGTAGAACATGGCAAGGGTATCAAAGGACATGGGGAAGCCCCATAGATAGACGGGAAAGGACAAAGCCTTCCGGATGGACTGGCTCTTCTTTATTGTACGTTTATATTGCTGCAGTGTTGGATTCTATTTAAACCAAAAGCATGTTTGAGATTATCATTTTATATTGTAGAATCATTTCAAAGCTCATGCCATACAACTGGCCTTACTGCTATCAGTGATTTACAGTTCTTGATAGGTGTGTGTGTGTGTGTGTGTGTGTATGTATGTATGTATGTATGTATGTATGTGTGTGTATATATAGATATATCTATATATACACACACACACTATAGTTTGACAAGTACATATATTACAAGGTTTTCCTATCTTCGCATATTTAATAACGTAAAAGTATAATTAAATAAGATGGTGATGTTTTTATTTAGCAAGACAACCCATAGAACAGGGGTGGGCAACTCCGGCCCTCCAGCGTTTGTGGAACTACAAGTCCCATGAGGCGTTGTAAGACTGACAGTTACAGTCATGACTCCCAGAGGCAGAGGTATGTTGGGATTTGTAGTTGAAGCACAGCTGGAGGGCTGGAGTTGCCCACCCCTGCCATAGAGCAATACTGATCTGCAAAGTGCTGTAATCCAAGACAACCAATTGGGTTTCAGTTTACTCAGATTGGAGACAACTCATTTCTGATTGGGTGCTGTGGGTTTAGCGCACTTTGCAACTGCTCCCTTGTCCTGCTGAAATCGTTTTCATAACTGAAAGCCTTCCTTTATGGCCCATTTATACCAACCGCGGTGCGTACAGAGCGGCAGCTGGTGGAACGTACAGCAGTCGCTCACTAAACTTCCCCTCTCATTCTGGGGAGGGAGGGGGCATGGCAGTGCATTGAAGTCAATGGCATCGCTGCGCTGCCACTACCTGTGCTCTGCTTTTTGCGTTTGCATTGAACCGGAACACAGGCAGTTTTTTGCCATGCGTCAAAGCGCACTGTGGATGGGGGGTATGGCTACGGAGCCATTGACATCGCCCCCTCTCCCCCGTCCGCAGTGCGCTCAGACGCATGGCAAAACATTGGCAATCGGACTGCAGGCGGGGGGAGGGGCGGGG